ATAGGACTTAATACTTGAGCCCTTTGTTCAGTGGAAACTGTGGACCCTGTAAGGTGTCACTTTCAGCTGCCTATAGTCACAGGGATAAAATGAGGTTCTAATTTATTAATCTGGCTGATCTACACAAGACCCCTTTGGGAGGCAAAAATTAGTCTTATGTTTGCATATCACTGATTTGAATAATACAATGTGGATCAGCTTCAGGGCTGTTCTAAATCCATTGGCTGGAAAGGTTGCCAGTGGACTGTGGTGTGCTTTTGCCGCCTGATGACTTTTTCAGATCAGTCTTTCCTGACTGTTTTGTGTTGCTACAGCTATGGTGGGAGGTCTTGGTGGGAGACCATAAATTGCCAGTGTTGTACAAATGTGTTTGCTGAATCATCTTGGTAACAAGTACCTGATTTAGTATATGATCATGATCAGTATATCCCAAAATAGAAGTGAAACAGGCTGTGCAGCTTAGCTAAATATCACACCCACAATTTCTAGTCAATCACCAGATCTACATGAGGAGGGTAGTGGCATTGGCATCATGCTACCTGAAACTGCCTGCCTTTCCTTTTTGTCTGTGACATCCTACTGCTCTCTAGTGCTGTTCTCTTCTGTTTTCAGCTACCAATAGCAGTACAAGCATTTCTGCCCATTAGTGCCACCTTCTCTGTCATAGAAATAACAGCAGCATTAGTACTAGTCTTATCATGCAGTTGTAACTCGCTGATGAGTGTGTGATGCTTTCTGTGCCTGCTTCATTTGTGATGGCCCACAGTTATGGAAACTTGTGGCACCTCATGATTTTATCTCTGGAAAATCCATGTTTTCATCCCCTGGTGTTCTTGCATGATCATTTTAGTCCAAAGACAATTTATTTATCTCAGTCTATCTGCACACCTCACAGAACTAGTTTATGAAATAAAGCCACTGCTTCTGAAGGTCTGTGCAAATCAGAAGGCAGCATTGGTATTATGCAACTGATTTTTTTTTAGGCAATTGGATTGCCTGACTGACACCTGAGCAGCATAAATATCTGAATATCAAAAATTACCTGTACCTCCTGCTTATCTACCTGCTGGAGCAATTGTCTGCTGTCACTGAACTGGTATCTCTTTTTCCACTTCACTTGCTGCCTCCTTTCCCATCATCCTGCAGTTCTGGTAATTGCTTCAATAGAACCTTTGCATACCATGTTTCATGCTGGTTCTATTCTGCAAAATTGTTCCTATATATCCTTAAAGATATTGGGGTGGAATAATGTTGGTAGGTATCTTGGTAGAACGTCAACTTGGTCAAAACAATTAACAAAATTTTAAATGGGAATCCATCATTTTGCTAATACCATTATTTTCATAGTCACTACTGCTAGAAAAAAGACTTTATGCTGTGATAAATACTGCCACGACTGACAACACTAGTGTGTACACATTTCCACTCCTATTTCAAAGCAAGCCATCATCTAGGTACTAATATTTAACTTTTAGCTAAAATGGGCACAGATAAATCTCACCTGATTCAAGGCTTCTCAGTTTTTATGGTTGCTAAAATTCAGCAACGTGTGTGTAGAACTACTTGATTACACCAAAACAATGTGAGCATACTTTGATTTTGCAAAAGGTAGTTGCAGTGGCAGCTAACAGCCATAATTGCAGGGAGTCTCTTACTTGAGGTCTTTTTTAAAACAACCATGCATAAGTTGATTGATGGTATGTGGCATCACTGTGCCAACTCCTCACTTCATTGCACATGCTTCAGTTTTCCTTGCACAATTGGGGAAGTGAGTCAAAGAAGGAGCCACCCTCTTTTTGGTTAGCAGTATAAAACAATGCCTTTGTGAATTATAAAAAATAATGAGATACAATTTGAACTGCTTGATCAGCTATTGCTTGAAGGCAGTGTTGCAATATAAAACGCACAAGAGTAGGAGTACTCAGGATTCTTGATCCTAACATCTGACTCAATCAGTGACTCCCCTTTGGACTCCCTTTGTGTTCTTAGGCAATTCAGATAACCTCTCTGAGACAATTTACTCCGTACATGAAACACAAGGCAGCAGTTCATCACCAGTATGCATCAAAATGTGAGAGTCTCCCTGAATCGCATAGAATGAATTCTGCTTTGGTGTTCAGTGCTAAACATCACTGCAGTAGCTTCTTGCAGGATCTCAAAAGAACACAGATCCCCAGACATTAACACCTCTTCTGTTTGTCACTAAGGTAGCTATTGCAGTATGGTAACTGAATAGTTTTAATTTTGAAATACATCCTTCAGGTCACTGAAATTAAACTCTTCGCTGATACCACTTGCCTTTGGACCAGGAGCATATTACTATAAAACAAGAAAAGGGTTGTTTTAAAACTTGACTTACACAGATGAAATCTGGTCAGTCTCAATTTTTCCCTGGACTTAGCCTAAGATAACAAGAATAGGCATTCTTTAGAACTAGCTTTGTGAAATACAGTGAAAATTAAAATGGTTCATCAGTTAGTAACCATCCATGACACTTATGAATCCTGAGACTCCTTGCTTTGTATATATGCCTATACTGTCTTGCTTTGGGCCTCACTTATATTCATCTGTTTATCCACTTGTTATTTTGTAGAATAAGCAATGGGACCAAAGTGTTTTTGTTTGTACATTGCCTACGGCATAGACACAGACTCTGATAACCAGGAACTACCACAGTAAAACCACTGAAGGAGAGTATAGTGACAAAGAGCTGATAGGGAACAGCCAGCAGTCTTGTGGTTGCTTTGAGGTAGAGCAGCTTAATTGTCTGCTGGGGCTCTAAAATCCCATCATTTGTCCCTTTGCCAGTCAACCGTGTCTGTCTTCTTTCTGGATTATGCTAGCCACCCCTGCAGTAGAGCGAGAATTGGTGGCACTTCACACCCTACTGGTTTCTCCTGCCAGACAGACCACACCTAAGTGGATGTGGGCCTGCTAGAAGTTGATACCTCCATAACAACATCCCTTTTCCTTATGATTGTAAATAGAGGTGCTCAATCCTCTGCTCACAGGCCAGCTCTGGGCCCAAGTCCCACCATGTCATCCAGCCCATGGAGCTCCCCATGAGTCCATGGGGAGCCTTACAGGCCATGGCCCTGCACACTGGATTGGATTCTCAGGGTGGCATGGGGCTGGACAAAGGCAGCGTCTGGCCCCAGAGCCCAGCCTCAATTTTGGGCCAGGTAGGTTAGGGCCCCAGAGCCCAATCCTGGCATGCAGAGCTGGGTGGTGGCAGTGTCGGATCCCAGAATCTGATCCCAGCACACAGGGTCTGATTTGTTCCAGAGACCAGCCATTCATTTGGTGCATGAGGCTAAAACACTGAATGTCACTATTGTAAGAGAAGGGAACATGAAGTTTTGACATGAGGGTGATTTTTCAACATTCAGGTAACTGTTTGAAAATGCAAAGCTTCAGATGAGATGTGCAAATATCATGGTTGGGTGTTTGGACACTGAAATCATGTGGAGATATAGGATATTTGCAGTCAGGGCTTTTCTTTTCCAGTTTATAGATTTACATCATTGCGTAGAAGGCAGGGCAGGGTGGCACTTTGCAGATTAACTGGTTCAAAGAAACATGAGCTTTTGCAGGTAACTAACTGCTTCATCACCCTTGTCAGATGTGTAGTTTTATTTAGCCCAGATTATTTATTTATTTATTATTAGTACTTATTCATTAGCCATTACTGACAAAAATCATGCTGTAAAAGAATCAAAACAATTATTTTTCTCAATTCAGTTAATTCTTTATTAACATTTTCATTGCCTGGTTTACTGTCACAAAATAAACAAATGAGATGCAAGCATTATAGAAGTTTTGTGAGAATATTTTTCTGGTGTTTAGCTGGTTGGAATGGAAAGGGGCTCTATCTTCCTTTCCTCTGCTGTAGGTAGCTGTAAACTAGCTGATGATAATGGCTGCTTCTGGTCTTAAAATCTGTTAATCTGATAACATGTGGTTTAATTGGGGCTTCTGTGTTGTGGGTGTGCTTGCATGACTAACTCGGGTGTTCCTAGTCTTGTTTTCTATTCAAAGGAATTCCTTAATATATGCGGCCAAATAAAAGCTGATTTAATATTTATTACCTCAGTTACCAGTTTATGCCTGCAGGTACCTTTAAAGTATCTTGTCCTGTTTAGTAAAATTTGTTTCAGAAGTCCTGAGGACAATATTAGCCATAAAGACAATGCAAATTTAAAGCCAGGAAGGCATTCTACATCCTACTTTCTAAAAATCTCCTTCTTCTCTAGCATGTTGACTTTTTTTTTCAGTTTTTTAACAATTAGACCAGAAAGAGAGAGTTAGACTGCATTCACCAAACTTGAATTATAGGATTTATAGGGAGATAAAAGACACATTTAAACACTTTGTGTTAACACAATCTGAAGGTCAAAATTAGCAAGCTTTAAAGGCACGCTTCAGTGACATACAGTAGAGCCTTTGTAAAAATCATAAATAAAAGACAGTGTTGAATTAGTGGATGATAAGGAGGATTTGATTTGTAGCTACAGCTGGTTATGTATGACAGCAGCAATGGAGTTTACATGAGATGGATTTTGAGGCAGGAGTATTAGGATCTAGCATGTCAATAAGAGAACAAATAAGCAGCAGCCGGTTGTCAAGTCCAGTTGTAAAGAAGTCCCTAAACCTGTTTTCTCCTTGTTCAGGCAGCTGTGAAACTTTAGTTGTTTTTGTTGTTGTGCTCCTTTGTTCTGTAACTGGGTTGGCTAAACCGGATAATCTTTATTATTGATCCCTTTGTTTTTACTGGAAGCCTCAGGATATAAACTGCCTGCTTCTTCTAGGTCTGTGATTTACAGTGATATCTTCTCTCATTATCCACTGTATCACACCCCAATCATATGAACCATTAACTATTGGAGTGATGGGAAGCATCTGCTCTGGCATGTGGCAGACTTTGTCATAAATGCGTTCCTAATCCAGTTCAAGATTGCTTTGTTTCACATATGATGTTCTTTTATCTTCTTTTTTTCCAGGGACTTTATGTATTTGTAGTATATTTTATCCTACACAATCAACTGTGTTGTCCTGTGAAAGCGAGTTACACTGTGGATATGAATGGGCACAGCACTCCAGGCTCACCCTTTTTTACCCATGGCAGTGGCATGCCAGCACCAGGAGGAGAAATCAGCAAATCTACTCAGAATCTAATCAGTGCTATGGAGGAGGTACCTATTTGCTATACCTTATGTCATAAGTATGAAAAATGCAGTTATATATTTTGATGGGAAAGCAACATAATGGAATAACTTGGATTTGGGATGGAGGTAGAGCTACATACATACAACCATAGAAAGGGCTTTGGCTTGTACAGTAAATGTTGTTATTCTCAGGAACAATAACACAACTTTTTCATAAAGTTTATGCCTGACAATTACTGATTTTTTCATACTGCTTACTAGCTTGCTTACAGTGTTATAGCACTATGAAAACTGGATTGATTTTGTCAGGTTACTGTAGTTCTAGGATAAAATCCTGTCCCCGTTGAAGTCCATGGCAAAACTCCTGTTGACCCCACAGAACCAGGTTCGCACCTCCAATCTTTACTGATGCTATAAGTAGCCTTGTCAGATGTCAAGATATGTAAAACAAAGATCTGATACTCAAAATGAAAATATTGTAGGGCTTTTCCCAGCCTTTTCTCTCAGATTTAGTAATTTCTTCAAACTTAATGAGACTTCATATCTTTCCTTATCCGTAGCCCTCCCTTTATGCAATAGTGCCTAAAATAACTGCTGGTTCCAGTCCCTCTGTTTTTCTGTCCATTCTGGGTCCTGACCACAACCAGATTTCATTTTGTATGCTGTAGGACTGCAGTCCCTTGTTTTTCCTACCTTATGTGCACTGATTTGGAGTGGGGAGTGAGAATTTTCCATCAGAAGCTGCTGTTTTGATGGAATTGAAACATTTTTCAGGTTGATTCTATTAAAACCTTAAGCAGATCTTCCAAGTATTCCAGATCTTCACCTGGCTTCACCTGGTCTGCTTCTTTTCCTGAACTTCTCAGCTTCTCACTTGGCAGTATGGCCAATTCTGTAGTTTACTGGAACTGCCTGGCTTCCCAGCTGCCACACTGCTGGTCTTTGGGAAAGGCAGGATTCCAGAAAGCCAGAAAAAGTTCAGTTTTTTTCCTGCAGTGTTTTCTTTAAAAATATATTTTAGGGATAAAATATTATTTTTCAAAAATTCAGTCATTTTCACAAACTAAAATCCATTTTTTCAAGTGCTCTAGCTTTGAATAAATGGCAAATGGGATATAGCAAAAAAGATGTCCAAGCTATCAGGCTGTCCATCAGCATTTTCAAATACGTAGGATAGTGTGAAGATAAAATACTGTTATGGTATCATTGGAAGGCATTGGGTTGTCACTGAAGGAATCATATGAAAAGGAATGAAAATGGATCATGAGTTGTGGAGAGTAAAGGTAAAATTGATCAAGGGGAGAACCAGTGCCAGGTCCCCTAATCCTAGGTCACGGCTTACTCATGAATTGAAGCTAATGTGGTGATGGGGGACAAATAATAATCTGGACAAAGGTCTGGTCTGCATCAGTCTACACCAGGCCAGAACTCAAGGTCTGCCAGCAGAACTGCCAGGGTGCTTACACTCACTGCTCCCCTTTGATGGCACAGCCCTTTCTTCTACTGATAGAGTAACCAGTTCTGTGAGTGAAAAAGGTTTCTACTGCTGCCTAAGAGGCAGCAAAAGGCATGCTTCTGCCAGCTGTGGCAGCCCCTTTAACAGTTGACGCCTCCCAGATTGCCTTGCATGCCATGCTGGCACAACTGCTATATTGGACCTCCACAAATAGCTTCCCTATGGTGGTTGCTGTCTGCCAACCAAACTTCTACCAGCCAAAGCCGTATAATGTAAACAAGGCCTAACAAGACAGAACACTAGCTTTGGTAACAACTGAAGTTCTGAGGCTTTTTTAAAACTTATTTAAGGTATCAGCAGACTGGGAGAGGGCATCCCTGCAGCCAGCCAGTCAAGCCAGTGCTGCCTTTAAGCAGAGTCCGCAGAACGGTGCTGCTTTCCATACTACTGGAGGATTTAGTAACGGCTCATTGATGACTGATGAGGAGTCACAAGAGTTTGATGACTTGATATTTGCTTTAAAGACTGGTAAGTGGCACTTCTTACTTCCCTTTTTAGAAGCTTATGCTTTGCTCTGATACACAGCAGTTTCCCATGGAGTTACTGTAATATCAGATCCAGTTGCTGCTAATGCATTCCAATTGCCGGTGCAAACCTAGAATAAAGTTTTGTTTTGCCAGGACCCGTTATTCTATGAACTAAAAAATAATGAGCATATTGTTTAAAAAAAAGAAAGAAAAAGAAATAGGCTACAAAAATGTAATTTAAAGAACATTAAGCTTGTGGTGCAAACATACAGAAGGAAACAGTTAGTTTGGAAGCTCTAGCATTTCTTCTCAAGTAGCAATAGGCATTAAACTTACTGGATCTAGGTATTAGATGTCTTGTATTGTTCCCTTGCTTTTTACTATTCAGTCCTCTTTTTCTGCGGTGGTTGATCATATTTACTAATTGGAATATGGAAGAAGTAACAAAGAACAAATGCCAATGGTCCTGGGAAGGATAATATGTGAGGACAAAACCTGCCTGTCTTCTCATGCTATACCATGGAAACTTGGAGCCCAATCATGGCATGCTTGAAGGAGTGAACAAGATGGGGTTCAGTGAATAACACCTATGCAGGAGCCAGTTGTAATTAGGTTGCAAAATAGCTGGAGAGCACAAGAGGAGAGTGGCCTGCCTGAGATGCCTGCATTTATACCACACTTGTAAAACAGACATAGTCAGTGCAACAGACAGTCATAGGTTAGGTATAAGCATTCAGAAAGCCTGAAGCAGAATTGATCTAAGTTACACAGGTTTGTGTAAGCAGTCCTGCCAATGGCTTTGGAGCTCCCAGTTAATGCCTTTAGGGTTCCCATCTGAGTGGTTCTCAGTTATACCCATCTCTTATGTGACAGTGAGATCATGGACCTCTAAGTCTGTCTAGAAATGGGTACTACGTAGGGTACAAAATTCACTAACCAAGTGAAAAATTCAAGAATATAATAAAAAGTCACTATTTTTGTCTCCTGCCTTTGGAACACTGTTGTGGGGGACATTCTCAGAGAGATACCATCAAGAAAATGAATTGGCATATCCAATGCTGTGTTATCATTCTAAAGTATCTCTTCTTTTAGAGGCTACAAAACTTTGTGTGATATCTCTGAAAATGACGAGTATGGGTTGGAGCACCAGAAATGTTTCTAATGAAAGGGTAACATTATTAAAGATAGTTATACTATTTTACTTCTTGATCCAGCTTCCATTAAAATCCATAGAGTAACTAGTTGGATTTTTCCTTAAGAAATTGAGCCAGAAATGTTATTTTGCATTTAAATTCCTAATATGTTGTGCAATAGTTGTGTGTGTATTGTTATATACGTCATGTGGGTCCTGCCTCATAAATGATCCTTTCAAATATGAGAAGATACTATTTAAAGTTTAAATTCTATGCATTTTAACTTTTTTTATTCTCTCAGCTATGCATGTGTGCAAAGTAGATCTGCTGTAAATTTGAACTGCTTTGGATAGGTTGCAAAATTCCTGTTTAATTAATTAAAAAGTGTACCCTGTTTTTTTCTGCATATATACACATCTAACCATTTCAAATAGTTCATACTCCTTTCTGTGTTTAAGAGTCTTACACAAGTGATTCAGCAGGGCTTCCAACTGCATCACTTTTAAAGTGTCAATATTACAGTAAATCTACACAAATACATATATCTGCTGATGCCACTTTTAAAGTTGCACTATCATCATTTAGGTTGTCTTTTTTTTAAGAAGAAAAAGAAACCTGGAGGATAATTCTTAGAGATTAAGCACAAAATAAACAGTTTTTATAGAGTAAAATATGAAAAGTTAGTGGCAATGATATTTCTGTGCATTGTCTGTTAAATTTCATTTTCACTGGATATTTTTCGGCATATTTCAGGTTCTGAAAACCCCATAATTATTTTTAAAGATCTTGCACCATATTTTTTTTTACTTTTTTTTTTGCAGTTTTCAGAATTGTGAATGGCTTTCCTCAATTTCTGAAGAGATAGTACTACCATATTTACTTTCCCCAAAAATTCTGCTACTGGAAATTGGGTTGTACATTGAAACTGAAGGAAATGTGATAACAGCAGTTTCTGCTGCTTAAGCCACTGCAGGGA